TTCATTATGCGCGTGTGTATCATTGTAAATAATTTATGCGTAGGTTGTCTGTACACTTTGCAGACTATTATTATTGCAGACGAAATTTCTCGGCAGGTATTTTGGCTTGAACGCAAAAGTTTCGATCAACAATACACTGATATAATAGCGGTCAACTACCCTAGGAAAGGCTCTCAAAATACATAGCCTTTGTGGTCATTTTTAATTGCGATATTGCTGAATTTTGAAGAAATTGATGTTCTGTGATTTCAAATCGGGCATATATCTATCTGCGGTTCATGAAAAACTTTAATCGTCAAATACACTTTATGCAAAAGGTAGGAGTTTCCGTGTTGATCTCACAATGTTAATGTTTACTGACTGGAATGGTTTCTCGGTAAATAAACTTTATTACTCGATACATCCCGTCTACAAAGAAGTCCATTTTTAAATTACAATCTCTTTCATACGTAAACAACTGTCAAATATTCATAGAAATCATCCTTCTAAAGAGCACGCCTCTACAAAATAAACACCTCCTTTACAGACCTCCCAAAAACCGTTTTAAATAATAATAATAAAAAAACGCGACAAAACGAATGATCTGTTGACGAAGAGAATCCTTTTGGATATGAAAAAAATATCGTCTTTTCGATGAGAAACAGATCGAAAACGAAATAAGTCCGTATTTTCCAGATGAAATGAAACATATTTGAGTTTTTATCGAGGTTTATAGAAAGGTTTCGATAGGTTAAAGGCGACACATTGCGAACATATATATTTTTTTCGGATATTGGAAGACGTGTTTATACGTCAACGTACAAAAAAAAGAAATCGTTGAGAATTTGATTAATGTTGTTGATTTGTATGTTGGCCGGTTTTTCAATATGTAGTTAATTATAAATGACTTTTCAGTAGTGAAATGATCCAGAATCAATAAAATCATTATTTTTATTAGAACACTTATGACAATGACAATCTCATAACATATGTCTCCCATTCAACCTATTTACAAATACAGGGTAATGTAACATTCCGGATATATCATCTCCCCTTCCTAAATTTCTTCTCCTTCATCTCCCTTTTTTTTATTTTTATTAAAAATTTTCTATTCCTCTTTACTTCTCTGCCGTTGACTAATTTAATTGTAAAGTTTCTATATCTTCCTACCTCAATAATTTCTCCAATAATGTTCCAAAGTTTGGTAATCGGGTCCTGTATTCTTACAGTGTCACCTTGTATTCCATGAATCAACAAATAATTTTCAAATTTTTTCCTCCAATCTTTAAATTGAGAATAAGACATGTTGTCATATAATATTTCCGGAGCCGGAATCGCACTTGGCATACGTACAAAGTGGACATCCTCATTCTTTTGTAGATCACTACCAGATACTCCACTTGCTGAAGTTATGCCATTATTTGTTTGAGTTGTTTGTAACATTGTACTAAGCATGTCTTCGATTCTAGCAAATTTATTATTAAAATCAGATTCCAGACTTGCTATTGCCTGTCTGTTCAACTCTTCTGTAGTTCTAACTGGAGATCCATTTTCGTCTTGCGACTTCTTTTTCTTATTTGCCTTTGGCATTTTCGGAATTAGAATTGGCAGCGTGGATACCTACAGAACTGACTGTGCTATGAAATGATCCAGAATCAATAAAATTATTATTTTTATTAGAACACTTATGACAATGACAATCTCATAACATATGTCTCCCATTCAACCTATTTACAAATACAGGGTAATGTTACATTCCGGATATATCAAGTAGTAATACCACAAGTGATTGAAATGGCGCGATAGTTCTGTCGATTTATTTTATAACGAAACTGAGTTGCTTGAAAACTTGAAAACACTCGTCCTCCGAACTCGTGGTGTTTTCTTCAAGCAACTCAATTGAGTTGTGATATAAAAGACAGAATTATAAGATCAATTCAATCACGAGTGGAATTTTATTAGACTATTTCACAAACAAAGTGAAAGGTAAAAAATCCGAGAGGAAATTAGCAAAAAAGTTAAGAAGTTGATTAGAGAAATAGTTTAATAAACAGGAAACATTGACATCGTACATATTTAAATAAACCAGTATTAACATAACGTACATGACACTGAAGCTAGCGGCATAGGTTCAGTTTTTTTTACGGAGTCGATTAAATTTTACTAAGGATTCCATGTCCTTCGACTTGATCCTTGGCCTTCTCTCCTCTCGAATTTGATTTACCTAAATTCTTGAGGGCCTCTAGAAAAAATCTGGACCGTGAAATGTCCATATATTCACGTTCAGATTTTTTACGGAGAAATGAAATTTTACTAAGGATTTCATGTCCTTCGACTCGATCTTTGGACTCCTCCCCTCTCAAATTTGATTTATTTTAATTCTCGAGGGCCTCTAGATAAAATCTGGACCGTGAAAAGTCCAAAAATTTACGTTCAGATTTTTTTACAGTGTATTAAATTTAACTAAGAATTCCATGTCCTTCGACTCGATCTTTGGCCTCCTCTTCTCTCAAATTTGATTTATTTTAATTCTCGTGGGCCTCTAGAAAAAATCTGGACTGTAAAAATCCAAATATTCACGTTCAGATTTTTTTACGGAGTCGATTAAATGTTACGCCACTGCTTTCTTGCTGGCCGCTGTATGCCTAGGCCGCTAGCTTCAGTGTCATCATAACGTACTTAAATATTTTTTAATTATAATTTTAAATAGTACAGTTAATATATACAGGGTGAGCGAAACTCGATGTCACAGCTCCATTATGGGACAAGGGAAAAAGATAGGAAAAAGTTGGAAAGAGGTTCTTAAATGGGATAGAGTAAGGTCCGTTTTAAGCCCAATTTGCATATTTGTCCATATTTGGAAACTGAGGTAGTGACGTCATTGATTTTTATTTCGGAAACATACCTATATTTTTACAAATTTAAAAAGAGCTAATTTTTCTGAACAAATTTTATAAAGAAAAAAATTTGATGTCTCCTTCACTTTAAAAATTATAAGCAAATTTGTAAAAAAGAAACAAATAATATATTACTTACAAGAGAAAAAAACAAAGCTTGTATGCATAGTCAATCACTAAAACAAATTTCCAATGTGACCACCTCCTACTTCTAAACACTTATCCAATCTCCATCTTACTTCTCTTACCGAAGCCTTACGTAACATTTCTCTAGATAATTCATCGCAAGCAATTCTAATTTTGTATTTTAAATGTTCCATGTTAACTGATGGTGTTCTGTAAACTTTATTTTTCAAAATTCCCCACAAAAAGAAATCTAGTGGGGTCAAGTCCGGTGATTTAAGCGCCAACTGTATCGGTCCATTTATACCTATCCAATGTTCTCCATAAGTTTCATTCAAATATCGTTGGACAATTCTTGCTTTATGCGGTGGAGCTTCATCATGCTGGAAACACATATTTGCTCGAAGCTGTAATGGCAAATTTTCGAGAAGCACAGGCAATTGTTCTTGAAGAAATTGCAAGTATCGCTCAATACATAAAATTCCTTCGTAAAAATATGGACCAATCAAATGCCCATTAATAATACCACACCAAACGTTAATTCCGAAATGCCCTTGGTTTTCAATCGGATTGACAAAATGTGGATTCTCAGTAGCCCAATTCGTTTTTTTTATTGGGCTTACCATTACTAACAAAACGGCTTTCGTCCGTCCATAAAACATGCTGAAAAAATCGATTTTCATATTCTAACGTTTCCATCACTTGGGCAATATAATTCAATCTTTGTTGTTGATGTTGATCTGATAAGTATTCTAAGTTGTGAAGTTTATAATCGTGGTAACCATTTTCCTTCAAAATTTTTCGTACCGAACTATATTTTAAATTCAACACACGACAGACTTGCCGAATCGAATTTCTTGAATGGGTTTCAAAATACTGCAAAACAGTGGCAACAGTATTATCAGAATTGACTCTTTTACCAATTTTTTTTCCCCATTCGAGAAGAAAATGCCTTGTTATTTGAATGTAAATTGCGTTCCAATCTTGCAAATATTTTTAAGCTTGGAATAACACGTTCGGGGTATCTCTGGGCGTATAACTGCTCTTCTAGGGTTCTTTTGAGATTCCCCATAAACTAATAACATGTCGACTTTTTCATTGTGCGTGAACATTTTTCAAAGCCAAATAACAACATAACAATATTTGTCAACCATTAATTTAATTTGACAGATACGTCTTTGCTATTTGTTTCCAAAGGCGACTTGTTTAAATTGTGACTATTCTGAATTTTTGATTATACTTTTTTTTTACAAATTTGCTTATAATTTTTAAAGTGAAGGAGATATTAAATTTTTTTCTTTATAAAATTTTTTCAGAAAAATTGGCTATTTTTAAATTTGTAAAAATATAGGTATGTTTCCGAAAATAAAAAATCGATGAGGTCATTACCTCAGTTTCCAAATATGGACAAATATGCAAATTAGGCTTAAAACGGACCTTACTCTATCTTATTTAAGAACTTCTTTTCAACTTTTTCCTATCTTTTTCCCTTGTCCCATAATGGAGCTGAGACATCGAGTTTCGCTCACCCTGTACAATGCTTTGAGCTTGACTATTTGAACACTCTCTTGTACTTGTAAAAGTTGTTATATCTTGATGGCTATTATTTCTCACATTTGCGATAAGTATTTCGCTGTTTACTAAGTTGGATGTAAGGTTTCAGCGAATTAGAGCTCGAATGTCCTGTGATTTTGATAGCTTCCTGTTTACCTACTCCTCTGCATAAAAATTCACTGACTGCATTTGATCGATTTGAGTGGTTGGTTATTTTTTGCTTTTTTACATCGAGCCCTATATTTTAAGCTAATGTTTGGGTTCATTTACTGATCGTATCGATCCCCATAGGTATATTTTTGTATCAAGGAGCGCAGTGATCACCGGACTTAAAGTGTCCATTCACAGTAAGAAACAACCTATTAGATTTTACATTTTTACCTCGTTTCGAAATTAACTTTTCATAAAGTCTCACGGGGCACATTGTTGGATTTTACAAATTTTTAATCAATTATTTGCTGTTCGCACATCGCTGACCACCTCCTTGGCAAGTCTTTGAAAACACTGTATTATATTCGATTCTACCGGTAGGTGCTCGCTTATATCTAATTCTTTAAAATATTCTAACAAACAATTTGCAGCTTCACATCCTCTCCAAGCAAGCTCTACCGCTGCGATATGGGAAAATTTCTTTTGGAGTGCTGTGGGTGTATCTTCATCACATTGTGTACATATCGCTTGATGTTCTTCATCGGTCAACGGTACCGAACTGATTTTTCGTTTCTGTGCGTTACCTTCAAGCAACTTTTGTATCTTGTGCATTTCTTGCCGATTGAAAAATGATATCTGATGAATGGGTCGAAACTCCGTGAATATTCATTATAATATTTTTCTTGCAATAATTTAGCACTCGTATTCCAGATCGTCTTTACGAAACATTCCTTGTAATCAGAACCATCAATTTTTCTCATGTTGAAGCCCCAGTCCTTTAATATAAGACACCAGTTGGTCTCTCAACAGGCGTTGCTTCTTCTAATACGTATTCTCGTTCATCGCAAAAACTAGTAAATTGCTTTCAAACGTACTCCTTCGATTTCTTTGTATTTTTCGATACATTTTCATCAATTTTTCCATTGATTAATTCGATGTAATTTACCCCAAATCTGCTCATTTTTAAATGCGTGCACAGCGGAATTATTTATATTTGACGTGTAACTGTCACATAAACAATCTAAAAACACCGAACTTGACAGGCCAATCAGGATCAAGAGTCAAGTTTGGTGTTATCGATAATCCGAACTTAACTCCTGGTTGGTTCATTTGATAAGTGCGTGAAATAGTCAATTGATAGTTAATGACCGAGATAAGGGAGATAAAGATAGGAAACGCCCATAAGAAGGCAATGCTTAACAACCACCACCTTTATCGCATTTAACATCTGACCCACTATGTGGCGCTTTCACAACCTTTAATAACAGGTTTTTAAATATCGACTGCACTCTCATGTCCTTGTAAATAAACTTAAACAATGTAATTACGCTAAATTATTTATTAAAAAGAATACTACACTTACAGTCTATAATCGATGAATTATTGTAAATCTCTATTCATGACAAATATTTTTTAATTTATGATTGTTATTTCTAACATTGCATTTTTGTTTTTATTTTCCAAACGAATGGCCAATGGTATCTTATTTAAAAATGTTGAATGCAAATTTAATAATGGAAATTCAGATATTTTTCTTCCTACATAATACATAAATACCTACTTTTTGACAAAAGTTGATTACCATTTATGTTACTTACATGAATAGATTTTACCTACTTTGGTTAATTAAAGAACGCCACATTGGGGTTGTTAAATTTGTTCATATGGCATGTGTTACTAATGCAATACGTTATCCGACTTATTGGAATATTAAAAAATATTATTATTGTTCTCAAATTTCACACAAAAACAGCTACAACTATTTCGCTTAGTTCATCTAGAGGATAACACATTCATTAACTCAAAATTTAAAATTTAAATTCAGGATTCAATATACATAAAACTAACTAACATTTATATTTACTATGAAGACTAGAGATAAGGAGGCGAATCGGCATGCTCAAAATATTGGGCATTCTAACGGCCTGTCAAACAATAGGTGCCAGTGGGAAATTCTTGTATATTTAAGGGGGTAGATTAGATTAGATTAGATTAGATTAGATTAGGAGTTGGACGTTATTTGTCCTTGTCCACCGCGACCTTTTCAGATCTATTGTGGGACTCCGTTTGTTTTAGAGTATGTCGTCTAGCCTGGTCTTTTTTATTAGACTTAGTAGCTTTGACAGTGGCTCCCGCATGTAGTTGCATGCAATTGGCTTTTCTTCGCCCAATGTTAGAAACCTCATTCCAACCAAGCCTTCACATTGGCACAGGACGTGGAATGATGTTTCCTATTCTTCTTCACAGAACCTGCACAAAGTTGCTTCTTCTGCTGGATTTATGACACTCATGTGCCTTTTGAGGCGACAGTGTCCAGTAAGAAGGCCTACTGTTATCCTAACGATTTGACGTTTTTGATCCAGTAGGTCTTTCGTAAACTTGGCCGATGGTTCCTTGGTGAACTGTTTGGCCTGTCTCAATTTTGGATAGTTGTTCCACCATTCATGAGACTCTTTTTGCATCCATTGTTTAATGGATGCCTTGCACAATGCCTTAGCAACTCCACAGAAGGGTTCAGGGCCTATCATGGCCTTATCTGAGCCTTCTCGGGCTAATTCGTCGGCCTTTTCGTTGCCCTGATATCCCTCATGGCCTGGAACCCAGGCTAAGGTCACCTTATTTTGACTACTTAGCTCTGTCAGGTCTTCTAGACAGTCTTTCACCAGTCGTGATTTGATTTCTGGTGAGAGAATTGCCTTTAGAGCTGCTTGGCTATCAGAGTATATGGCAATAGTTTTGCCTGATACTTGCTGATTTAATATTTCTCTTGCTCAGTGTTGTATGGCTATTAGCTCAGCCTGGAACACTGTTGCATATTTTCCTAAGCTTAGTGAAATCGTTGATTTCGATTTAGGTCCATAGATTCCAGCACCGGCTCCTTCCTTGGTTTTTGAACCGTCTGTGTACCAGACGAGTTCAGCCTGTACGGGAGGTCCCTGTTTCCAGGATTCTCGGGCTGGTATTTGAATTTGAAAATTTCTTTCAAATTTGTATGTGGTTATGGCTCTATCAGTAGGCATAGCTAGAATATTATCCCTTTTTACTTGTTGATATAGCCTTGTGTAGTCGGCGCTATGTAGTTGGCTTATTGGGTTTTGTCCCTGCATTAGCCTGTGAATAGTTGACCTGGTTTCTCCTTGTATGAAGATGTGCAATGGCGTGAGATTTAGTAATACCTCCATTGCTGCGGTCGGCGTAGTGCGCATGGCCCCAGTAGCACTCAGACAGGCAAGCCGCTGAATGCTAGTGAGTTGGCCTATTGCACTTGCCTGCGCAGTTTTGGTTACCCACGCCACTGCGCCATAGGTTATCATGGGTCTTATTACCCTTGTGTATTACCATATGGTCATTTTGGGGTTTAGACCCCAGTTTTTCCAACATATTCTTCTACAGCTTACGAGAGCTATTATAGCTTTATGTGTGAGTTTTTTGAGATGTTGATTCCATGTAAGCCTTTGGTCAAATATGACTCCGAGGTATTTGGCTTCTGTGACGAATGGGATAACTGTGCTGTTTAGTACTAGTGGTCTTAGACCTGTGAGTACCCGTTTTTTTGTGAATGGTACAACTGTTGTTTTTTGTGCGTTGATGGACAATTGTTCCTTTTTGCACCAGTTGTTCACTATGTTTAGAGCTGTTTGAGATCGCTCCGAAACCGTACCTGCAAATCGCCACCTGACGATGATTGCTAGGTTCGTCTGCGTATCCTAGGCACTGGTAGCCTTCTTTGGACAATATTTTGAGTAAGTCGTCCACAAGAACTGACCACAGCATTGGAGATAGTATTCCTCCTTGTGGGCAGCCCCGTGTAACTTTTGCCTGTATGGTTGCCTTTCCTAGAGTGGATAAAATAATCCTGTTCTCTAGATAGGCAGTGATCCATTGGCATATTGTTACTGGGACGTTTCTCCCTCCTAGAGCCTTGGTTATTGACCTGGTTGAGGCATTGTTGAAAGCTCCTTCAATATCTAAGAAAGTGGCTATTGCGATTTATTTGTCATCTATTGACTTTAAGGGGGTAGCGACATAGTCTTGCAACTTGGACACTATTTTTATTCGAAGTAGTACTCGCCAAGCCCGCCAATTTATGAAAAAATGAATAGGTGGGTTTTTAAATATTATTTTTTTTGTGTTTAACATAAAATATTTAAATGTATTCCATTATTCATGATTTTACGTAAAGTAGATAGAATACACCATTTGTCGCCACCCTTAGATATACCAAACCTGCCCAATGGTAATTCATTTGTTTGGAATGCCTAATAGTCTCAAAAATCACACGTCAATTAAGCTTTTATAATTAACCGCATGGGCGCTGGTATGGTTTACGTAGTTCAAACTACATGACTTCTTATGGGAATTATACATAATTTTGGCAAAATAATAAAAATAAACTTGTTTATAGCTAAATAAAGCACAGAACATACTGTTGTATTTATTTCTAAATAAGTCTTATATATTTTAATTGATGCAAGTATTTACTATTTATTCCTATTTAAGTAAAATGCAAATTATTGATGATAAGTCTTGAAATTTGATGGGTAGGGCTAATTATTTTTTAATTAAAGCTAAATAGGGCTGAGGGCATACTAAGACACGGTTTAAATGAAAATATTTAGTTAGGGATTTTACAAAATTTTATGAAAATATTAAAAATCAAATTGTTTATTGCTAACTAAAGCACAGAAAATACTGTTGATTTTAATTATTGTAAATAAGTCTTTGTTTTAATTGCTAACTAAAGTACAGAAAATACTGCTGGTATTAATTATAAATGAGTCTTTATGATAAACATTATTTACTATTCATTATTTAATTTTATCTAAATAAAATGAAAATTAGGTATGACCAAATTTGAAAAGGTTTGTTAAATGGTGAAGTTTGGTAAGTACAGTTTTGTGGTAATTTTGTATTCGACAACTACAATTTCATTATCCTAGTGAATAGTTTCTTCAGCAATAGGTTCTAGTATTTTATACCTTTTTTTTTATTCTAACAAATTCAGTTCGGTTCAATGGTGGTTTTCGTCTTTTCCTAATACTGGACAAGTATGAAGGGAGATTCGTTATATACGTGGTATTGCTTCGTTCTTTAATCTCGGCCTTTCCCTTTTTATTTTGTTAACAGTACCATTAGTTAAAATAGTCTCATCAAATTTTATAATATCATCTTCTAAAAAGTGTAGCTCGCAAACAGAATCATAACTAGACAGTACTTTATCAGCCCTAGGAATCACATGCTGCCATTATTCTAAACGTTTAGGATCCTATAAAAAATATTTGCAATGACTAAATTAGAGTTCAATAAAGAAAAATAACAGTAGTAACTCTTCATCTAACATCAAAAAACATAAAAAAGCTAATTTTCTTTTCTAGTAAGTTAAATTTAATGTGTAATTAATGTTGTTTGTAAGTTAGGATTTAGGACTTTATTATTGTTTATTATAGAATTTTGTAATTAAATAAACTACACTCCGTAAGATATGGGTTGTCACTATTTTCAAATAAATATATATTATTTAGAAATAAATGCATTATTTTACTTACACTAGGAGATTTAAAAAGACTTGGATTTTTATCTCCTTGTGTTTTCTTTAATTTTATATCGGATTT